AATAAATTTGCTTGAGGCATTAGATATTCAAATTTAAATGCATGTTTTCTAAAGTGTTTTATCAACTTAGTGTTCTTGACTTCATACGGAATACATATCTCCATGGGATTAGAATAGGTTTGTGTTACAAATAATGTTATTTCAAGTAAAAGACACAGGTGATCATTAACACAGAAAAGAAACTGAAGGTTTCCAGACCCAACACATCCAACACACAAGTGAGGCCCACTGGCTATGCCTTGTGCAAAGCGAATTCTCAAACACATCTGTTGAATACATACGCAAGTGGATGGCATCTATTCAGTTATTTGCACCGAAAATTAACTATCCAAAGCTTTCTATTTCTAGCAGAAATGCCATTTAAAAACTCAACACTTTTATTATTAATCAGCTGCTTCTTCCGGATAGCAAAACCAGGTAAACTGACTCCAGACTGACTAGCAAACTAATGTCAGTGAGCATAAGATGCCTCACCAGGTGTGCTGACCGTGTATTTAGAGAGTTCCAATGTCGACAGAACAGACATTCAATATATTGAACAACTCCATGTATCGTATTTTCATACAAAAGGAGACATAAGAATCTAAGTAATTTCTACAATGTGTTATCATAAAAACAAAAGTAGTAACTATAAATGTTTATAACATCTTAGTTGACTGTAGGTGTCTCTTCTCAGAGAGAAGCAAGGTGTCCTGAGTGAAGCAGGCCATGTGTCTATGTAATAGCCGGAGGACGCACAGGCCATTCGTGAGTCTTCCATGATGCACGCACAACGTGAATGCTGAGATCACTGTTAAAGGCAGAGCTTCGAAGCAGTAAAAACTTTCTAAAACCAAAGTCTAACTAATAACACTTACGGAATTGCAGCACCTACAAAGATTTTAGGCACTATATATTAAAGGAATCAGCCTTGGCCCAAACTCCTCTTGTAACTTTTCCTTACCTCTTCTGCTTCATGCAGAGTGAAATTTTCTAAAGCTCATCACTAAAACTTAGAAAATTTGATAGAGTACAGAATATTTTTCTTAATCAAAGTTTACATCATCCCAAACCATTTGAAACGCTTTTGTCTTTATATTTAAGCAAGACAACTAGTAATTCACTCAGAAATTTGGTTAATATATTTACATGTTAATGAAATAACTATTACAGGCTTGGAGAGAGTAATTAAACTATAATTTAGTATAATAATTCACTTAAAAATAAGCCTTTAAAAATTAAACGTAATTTCCAAAATTTCAGAAACAATTTAGTCATATACTAAAGGTTAGTTTCAATAATAGTAAATATCACAAATGAAGAAAATGTAAAAATGACCTTAGAAGTAAAATATAAAGTAAAATGACTTAAAGTAAGGTTATTTATTTTAAATTTCAATATCATGTGATTTTCAAAAATACAAGTGACTAAAAATAGCCCCCGTAATCTGAATTAAATCATGCTATATAGGAAAAGACCTACATGAACTAATAGAAGAATACTTTAGTATTTTAAGCACAAATATATTATTTTCAAATACATGGAGGAAATAACTCTCAACTGAATGCTTCTAAGCCAATAAATATTATTTCTCCTATATCATGTATGTGCTCAAGGGTTGAAAATAATTTGTTTCCTTAAATTAGTTAGTATGCTCCCTGGGAGTTTTTTACCCATTTATTTTCTTAGGTTTTACAGTTAGTGCCAAGCTTAATTTCATTTCATTCTCAATTTAACTAATACAAAATTTAAATTAATAGTCAGAATCAATATCATTACAATATCTTACACAGTTGACCCTTGAACAACAAGGGGACTAGGGGCATGGACATTCCCCTCACTCCCCGAACAGTCGAAAATCTGCATATAACTTTTAATTCCCCCCAAAACTTAACTACTAATAGCCTACTGTTGACTGGAAGCCTTAGCAAGAACAGAGACAGTCAATTAACATATTTTGTATGTTACATGTATTATGTACTGTATTCCTACAATAAAGCAAGCTAGAGAAAAGAAAATGTTATTAAGAAAATCATAAGAAAGATAAAATACATTTAGAGTACTGTATTTACCAAAAAAACCCCACAAAAACCAAAAAGCAAAACACATACACACACACACATATAAGTAGACCCACATAGTTCAAACCTGCATTGTTCAAGGGTTAACTACATATTATAGCATCAAAAGCAATGAATTTTAAGTTGAACATTGTTGCTGCAAGAAGTATGTCCAGTGAATTCAAGTCACTGGAAAAATATGATTTAAAGAGAGAGAAAATAGTATGAGACTTCTAAGATTGGGATATTGGTTCATAAAATAAAGCTCAAATTCTAAAGTCAATATTACATATCCAATATAAGGAAAACTAGTACAGAAATCCATTTCTCTCTCTCTCTCTTTCTTCTCTCTCTCTCTTGTTAAATAGTAATGGAAATAGATACAAAATTCTAGTCTCTTAAAATTGCTGATACCTCTAACATTATATTAAATTTTGTAATATTTAATGTTAGAAAACTTTGTAAGACATAATGAAATATTCAAGGTGTATTGACTGTGAGTCACTAGTTAACAAGTACTTTTAATCAGGTGCCATGTTAAGAACCAAAATTTCTACGCTCGATCCTTCTTCTCTTTTAGGTGGAGAGAGGCAGATGTCCACACTCAGAACTTAAAAGAATTGTTAGCAGCCTTTAGCAATGTTTAAAGGTCCACTGGTTGTAGAGGAGTATGTGAGCATTTAGGTAAAACTAATCTAAAAACTCAAAGCCAGTTAAATGTCCAATGTCACATGGAGGTATATCATAGTTTTGAACAATTGTCTCTATTTATTCATTAGACTTTTTTTTTTTTTTACTGTTATTACTGTTTTGGAATCATAGTGGAATTTTATATGATATACTATTCCAGACTTTCAAAATATATCTAAAACTGTTATTTTCAATTATGAAGAATATATTTTTTCAGACTGCAAAAGCACTGGGTTACCTCAAAATGTGTACTTAGACTGGTAAAATATCCAGGAAATCCTAAGCTTTTCATATAGTAAAAGCACTTTACATATTTCCATTCACTTTTTTCCTCAATATAAAATGTATAATTTAATGGCAAATTTACTAACAAAAAATTGGTAATATTATAATTCTTATGGTAATAAGGAGAAGCAGCATAACACATTAAGAAGGCAGACTTCCTGCATAGAGAGTAGATCCTTAAAATATGCTAATTTATAAATACCACAATGGCAGATAATTTCCCCCAGGAATCACAGCAAAGTGCGACTGAAATGTTTAAGTGATCTGCTTCATGCCTCTAAGAGATGCCACTTCCAGGATGGTGATTAGAAAATAAGAATGACAATATGAAAAGTACTGGCTAATTAATCAGTTTTGCTCATTCATTAGCCTCATGTAGAGCATCATCAAATTTTCATCACAGGAAAATCACAATTTACTAATATCATGGATCTTTAGGATCACTCGCTGATACCAAGAATGGCCAATCCCTGAAAGCTAAGGATATGCTTAATACAGATACTTATTTTAAGGTTATATCATCATTAAATTCAAACTGTTCAACTTTTTCTTTGAAAACGTCGATGTTGGTTTCTTTATTTTTCATTATAGATATGGACTTATCTCAAAATTCTTAAAAGTTTCTGTGCCAAATAACAATAATTATTACCTTGACCAGTATACAATAAATATCTCATACATCTGTAAACACAGTATTTTCGTTATTAATACACAACTGCTAGTGATGAAGGTCTTTAATGATAGTTTGAAAACCATGAACAAATTTATAAATTAAAATATAAAGTATATACTTTAGTTATGAGAAGCGTGTCACATACTGTTGGTCTAAGTCCTTATCATTATCATAATCACAATACAGGCATTTTAATTGTTTTGAAAATTATGGATTTAAAATCAATATTGCTGTATTCACTATGCTAAAAAATGTTATTTTATCGAAGTCAAAATGATAAACATTACATATCCTTTAATATACGAAAATAGAATACACCTTGTGCTTCCATAAATTATCAAGGTCTCTAATAGTCCTTTTAAAGTTCAACAAATAAAGCTTTATTTTCATATCTTATACATATATATACCTTGATAGAAAAATACTCAGCATGGTGTATTCTCTTAAGAGTCTGGCATCTCATATGAAAGTCTTAATAAAATTAAGCATTTTAGGTATCTAAGTTAAAGGTCGAGTTTTTAAACAGGCTTGTTTTTCCCACCTTCAGCCTGGTCTTCCTTCCCGCACCTCCCCAATCCCTGCCTCAACCCACCCCTGGCCACGGCTGTCACGGCACCAGCACGCATGGCCCAAGGAAGCTATGCCCATTTCAGAAACCCACAACAGCACTGGCTGCTGGAGCCGTCCAGGAGCAGAAGGGACACCTGAGAGCAGCTGAAGAAGGTCTTGCTGGAGGCCTCCATCACTCTCTACTGAGAAACACGTCCTTAGAAAGAGTGAGCATACTCTTCACCTTACATGCAAAAACTTTCTGTGATGCGGGGGGACTGAGGACTGACGACACCCAGGCTACGCTGTCTGTGACATTTCTGTATGATTTAGAAAACGTGGCCGTATTTCTTCAGTGACAGACTTCTTCAAATGGAAATATCCATTATTACATGTTCCCATTTGGAGAAGATGAAAACAAACAAAATAATTTTAATAAATGGGAGAGAAAGAACGATGGTTCATTTTTTTTTCTTCTGCTATTTTTTTCTGTAACTTCCGGGGATGAATTTTACTCTAAAAATGAAGAGTTCATGTCAACACAGAGAGATCAGTGTGTGAAACTGAGTTGTTTGAATGACTGTCTATCCATTTCTAGCAGAAATATCTAAGCACAAGCTGAACATGAGTTATTTACACCACAGTGAAAGATTTAGAGAAAAAATTCATTTCTTTATCTTGAGTGGAGAGTGTTTAGCCAGCCTGTCCTTTGTCCAGTCCAGTGTTCAGAAGCTTCTGCTCGCCTGGGTTCCTTGGGGTTCTCTTTATTCTTCTCCAGCTGGGGGAGGCGGCTCGCACAGCTTGTACAGCCTAGAAGAGGCACGAGAAGGTGTGAGAGTGGCCTGGCGTACGGACATTACTTGAGGTGTTTTCATTGATATAACATATACATTGACAATAATTTCTTGGTTCGGGAATTATGATCATATTCCCTATTTCACTAAAAATCACATATGAATTAGCAAACTCCAAATTTTCGGTCCTATTATTTAGAAAACACCATCTCTTTGCACAGCTAGGTGACTACTGATTAAGCGATGCTGCATTTTTAATACCAGCTGCTTCTGTTCCAGTGCTTTCGATCCCACTATTCACCTTGCTGGTAGCAAAATTGATTCTCCAAATGCCACGAGATAATATTATCATAATTACCATCATGTCTATCATGCTTGCCTGGTAGCAAGATAAGCATCTGTCTCATGAGAGTCTACTGATTTTCTGATCAGTTTCATGAATTTGCTTCATTATGCACCATCCTGGAGGTGCAAGCAGTTGGTTATAGACAGGCTGGTGTGGCACACTCCTGAGTCTTGAATATCACAGGCACGATTAGCTCATGTTTCTTAAGGAACATATGCCCAGCTTTGCTCATCCCTTTCACCTGTCAATAGAATCAGGTGGAGATTCAAGTGTGCGTAGGAATCCATTTGAACTGGTAGAGATGCCGGGAGCTGGGAAGATACACCCTCTCTGCATCCCTGGTATATTTGTTTGAGACCATACAGCATCAAGGCAAAGTTCAGGGGACCAAACTAAGATCACTCAAGTTCTAGCACTCCTCGTTCTCCTGAATGGTTGAATCCTAACCCCAGGAACAAAGCAAAGGGGAACATGGCCTCAGTAATGACCACACAGTGCATACCCATTATTTAGGGCACAGCCAAAGAGAATTAGCTGGCCTGAGGCGGCCAGATGTTGGACTCTACCCGCAGTCCTCAGTTGTGCCCTTGGCCATATTGGTTCCCCTTCAGAGCTTAGTCTAATGATATAAAACTATAAGGTGCAGATTTCAACTGTGCTCATTTTTAAAAGCATTCCAAACCCAGGGGTAGCTGCGGTGATCCACAACCTTTTATAGATTAAATTGAACACAGTTTAAATGAGTTATTGACAATCTTAGCAGATTAAAAATTTCCTTTTCCTTCAACCTTTAATCCCATGTTAATTCTAAATCAAAGAGGGAAGAATGGGAAAGACTGAATATTGAGTTAGCATCCTAGTTAACAAAATGAACTTCCCTAGTCTGGAAACTCATAGAAGAAGTTATTGCCTTGGAAGTTTGCAAAAACGTATTTCAAGTCTGGAAGGTAGTTAATGCTTTCCATGTCATCTCCAGGGAAGAAAATGAATACAGAAATAAGGACATCTCACATCAGAAAAGCTAATTTCATCCTTCTGGGAGAAGAGAATACATTAAAATCAGCCGATACACTTCAAAGCTGCTTTTCCAGCTAAAGGATATGGTGTTGCCTCAAATTGCATTCCTGGGGCTGAAATAATAGAATGATGGGAAAGCTCTTCTCTTCTTTAATTTCTACCCTCTCGTTTCTCAGACATTGCTGCCTAGTGAGTGAAAAGGCACTGTGGCCTTTATTCCGGCACAACAGGGATCATAGGCTGGGTGGAGGTGTCAGACCCCATGAGATCTGAGCCAAGCATCACATTGCCTTATCTTGCACGGCACGTTCCCACGGAATGTAACTAATGCTGCCGGGTACACAAGTCTTTGAAATGTCTGCCTTGCAAACTGGTGAAAAAGGCTACTCCCTGTGATCACCTCATGACATAATAGCTCTGGGTATTGCCGAGCTGGGCAGATTCAGCTTCTGCGAGGCTTCTTGGAAGAAAGTCAGGATTATTTGAGCTCAGACACATTAGTAATGGATATTGAGGGGTTTGGGGAATTTAGAACAAGCAGATGAAGTTTGGAAGTAAAACATAGGTAAGAGCTGGACTTCTACCCTGCACTGAGGCGTTTGGTTTTTGGCAGCTAAACTGTTAGGTAATGAGAGGCCTTTGTTTGCCCAGCATTTGGGGGCCTTTGCTTTTCTCATTCCATTCACGCACGCCGGAGGCCCTGCACAAAGAGAGGTTTGTTCCTGGCTCTGCATTCTTCTTTGCCTGTTTAGGTTCAGGCAGCCATCTTGGAGCCAGCATTTCCAGGCCCAAGCTCAATCTGCGGAGAGTGGAGCTTTCAGACTGCAGTCTACAGTCATGCCCTTCATCTTTTCTACATGGCCAAATAAAAGTTGTATTAAAGAAGACCACAAAGCAAATGCCTCTTTCAAGGCTAAAGTGCCCAAAATACTTTGTCTGTCTCAGAGGATAAATAACCTGTCTAAATCAGATCACATAGCAGGAGAGGAGACTCAAAACCATCTTTTCACTCTTAAACACTATAGTATGCTGCCTCTCAACCACACAAGCAAAATCAAGCTTTCATTACATGATAGTTTCTAGATTTTGTAATATAATAGAAAATAAGACCACTGTATGATTACTTCTGAAATGTAATATTTGATTCTTGGTGAAGATATGTTTATTCTGAAGAGCCAATGTATAAAAGTTAGAAGGAGGAATAACCTCATTTTTACTGTCCACAAGGCATCTCCACATGGAGATGTGTCTCGTCGATCCTTAGTCTCAAGAGTACCAAGCTGAGTTCACCTTTTCCTTATGTAGCAGCCACTCCTCATCTACAGGGGACACATTCCAAGACCCCCAGTGGATGCCCGAAACCGTGGATAGTACCAAACCGTATATGTACTGTTTTTTCCTATATATACAGACCTTTTCCCTCAAAGGAAGCATAATATAGCTTCTGTTTGGCATATCTGAATTTCCGGCATCACTACTCTTGAACTTAGGGGCCGTTATTAAGTAAAATTAGGGTGACTGTGACATGATGACAGTCAATTTGATAACCGAGAAGGCTACTAAGTGACCAACAGGCTGGGAGCATCTACAATATGGAGATGCTGGTTGGAGGGAGGAGTCACATCCCAGGACGGGGCGAAACGGCATGAGATTTCATCACACTACTCAGAATGGCACACAATTGAAAACTTTAGCATTGTTTATTTTTCAAATTTTCCATTTAATATTTTTGGGCTACAGTTGACCACAGGCAACTGAAACTGGGGACTATGAATAAGCGGGGACTACTGCACACACTCTTTTTCCTGCATCTACCATCTCAGTGACTAGAACCATTCGCCCTTTGTCATCCAAGCCAAAGATTGGTGGTCATCGTAGAATCTTCCTTTTCCCTAACCTCCTTCATTCAGTTAGTGTCCAAAGACTATTATCTCTTTTAAATGTCTCTCTCATTCATCCTCTTTTCTTCATACTCAATGCTATAATAATCTTTCAAGCTCCTGCCTTCAGTCTTAGCTGCCCTCAGATGGATTTTCCTAATATTATCAGAGATAAATTTGAAAATTTAAATATTCTAGACAGGTAGATTGTTTATTAGCGCCTCCCTATTGTTTCCAAATTAAAATAAAAATGTTTCAGTATCTCCTACAAGTCTCTTCCTGACCCAGCCCCTGCCTATGTCCCCAAGCTCACTTTGCATCATTCATAAATCACATTCGACCAGTAGTCACAGAGATTCAGGTGTAGTTCTCAGAATGTGATGTGTTTTCCATGCATTGGTGACATTGCATCAGCTCTGTAGGACATCTAATACTACACGGACTGGACCAAGGACATTCTGCAACCTCCTCTCTCCATCCGCAGACTGAGTTATGTGCCGCTTCTCTGTGTTCCCGTGGTGATCTGTGCCTATTGCTGTCACAGCTGTTATATACTGTATACTGTTTTCATTTTATTCAGTGGTCACTCTACTGAGTACCTCAGTGACTGGAGGAAGAGACTGCATCTTTATCTCTCGTTTTTAACAAAGTGCCTGACACCTACAAACACACAGGCAGAAAGTCAATATGCTGAGTGAATTTTAAACTATGAAAGACAGTGGATGGTTCTAAGAAAACTATGAAGAGATTGGTTGGGGCTTTGAATAAAATATTATCTCGGGCAGAGATAACAATCTTTATCTCCATGAAGTTATCTGTAGAACTATGACTCCGACTTGCCTATGGATGGTCTTAAGAGCCACATGTGTCCTTCAGTTTGATGTCTTGGGCAGGAGTCCTGGTTCCGAGCTGGGAGGGATCCCAGCCCCTACAGTCATCGGCACTCTCATATTCTACTTGTTCTTATCGTTCTGTTTCACTCACCTCATCTTTTCAAACGAAAGCTCCTTGAGGGCCAGAACTATTTCTACTTCCTGTTTACATGCTCTGTGGGGCACAGCAGAGTGCTCTGTAATTCTTATATTCGCAATAAATATTTGTAGAGTGAATGAAAGAATAAATAAAATAAAACTTTAAAATTACTCTCGGTTTCTCTCTCAGGGCTATTATTCCTTTGCAAAAAAAAAAAAATATCAACTTTCCAGCTGGCACATTTTATTATATTTCATTTCAAGTGTTTTAAAACATAACCCAATAAAGAAAAGAGGGAGTTCCTCCATTTCTTTTCTTGTTTTCAGCTTGTGTATTGGGTTATTGATCAAGGTGCTGCAGGCTTATCCTGGGCCACTGTTTACTATTTTTTATAAGCTCTAACTAAGAGGACCTTGCTGTGCCATTATCGTGTTTTCTTATCGAAATTTTAACACTTCATTTGGTCTATTATCCAAATATATCATGGTCTGCTCAAGGTGCTAGAGAGCAAACATCCTGTGAAATGATTCTTTAGCAATAAAATGTCTTAGCTTTTAATCTAATCAACTGTGAAAGATAACATCAACAAGATCTGGGGGATTAAATAGGGTTAGGAGTCAGCACTAAAAGTAAATGCAATTACAACAGGAGTGCTCCATTCATTTCCGGGAGGAAAATATGTTTTGTCTTTTAAAAGTACTTTCACTGACCACACAGTTTTTCAGAATGAAATATGACTTCGTAAATTCTGCAGCCGTCATTGTCTCTCTGGTAACTGCTTTGTACATAAGGAAAGAGT